AAGCAGTTGCAAACAAGTCTCAAAGGAAAAGTTCGCTTGACTCCTAGCAGCCTGACACAACTCCTCATGTTGCACAAAAGTGGCATTGCAAGCAACAGCGCATTCAGACTCACGCTTCAACGGCACTGCAACGCAACATTCAACATCCCGGTCCTCACGATCCGGTGTAATCGACTCGGGTTGCTTGTGCTGCACTGCCATTACTGCAGTGTTCGCTTGTAATGCTAAAGCCACAACACCCCTCATCACAACAAGCCAACGCTCATCTGCTTCCGCTTTGGCAATGCGGTTCAACGGCACATGAAGGCGTCCAGGGGGGCACGCACACTGAGACCCATCCGGCACTCTCACATTCGAAAACATGCGGATCACGGTATTACACGGCACACCACCTTTGGACACCACGCCTTCATACCTGCAACAAACATGCTCTGTCAAGAACAACTTTTGAGTAAGCACCTGAACCTCCTTCAAATGCCAAGCTTGTGAACGGGCGTTTGCTTCCAAGACAAGGATTCCCTGCGCAATCAATTGATTCTCAGCCAATTTGCACAAATGCATCGTGCGTTGGCTGTCACGCTTGTTGCCACTGCCTGCACAGGGTCCGGCCAACCTTATCCACAACACTTTCGGACGCATGGCAGCAAGCTTATCTCTCAAGTGATCGTAATGACCACGGCTGTGCAGGTCATGATGAACGTTCAGAGTGCGAAAACCCAACTCATGCAACACCACCTGTCGAACGCCCGACTTGTCAGACACAACGACAGCGCATTCACGCTCACTCACGACGACTTTGCCGCGGTCTCGGACTGTTTAGCGAATGGCTTCGAGCATTCAGCCGAAGACGGTACTCGACAACTCACTTGAAAGTCCAACTCGGCGCGCGAACCATGCTTCCCAATCCTGGCGTGGTCAACGGGCAGAATGAGATGACCCGAATCGGACATCTCCAAAGGAAACACCATGCAGTTGCTATCAAAGCTGGGCGGTTTGAATGAATCACCGGGCAAGATCAGACGATCATTTCCCATGTCGAGAATGGCCCGCTTCTCCTTAAGAGCACGCAATCCAAGCAACGGTGGCAAGTCGCTGTCAGGAATCACAGGGGCCGTGAAGCTACCAGAAATCACCGACCCTCTTCGCTCTTGAATGCCAATTTCGACAGTTTGACTCTGAGATGCGGCCTGTGAGTTCTGACCTACGCCTTCAACTTGCAACACGCGGTCAAGAGCACATGTCTTGGAGGGAACGCCGCTTTGCTCAGTCATGCGAGCCATGGTCCGCTCACCCACCAAGTTATCATGAGCGCCTGGGTCAATGAGCAAACCAACCCTGTTACCCTTCAACCTGGTGCGCAAATGAAAGTTGCTCGTCTTGCGAACTGCTTCCCACCAAGGGAACAACATGGAGTGCAAGTTAAGGCTCACAGCACGGTTCGAAGGCCCTGCACCACTAGGAGGCGAAGCACTACATTGTGAAGCAACTTGCGACGCAGACTCGTCTGCTGCAGGTGACGCTGCACTCACCTGTGATGAGGCGTGATTTTCAGAACATGCATCACCAATGTGGTACTGCTCAGCCTCACCAGCACGGGATTTGCGTTTGCTGCGAGCACTAGCTGCAGCACTCACCTGCGACAAGCGGTCCAACTCATGATCAATGCCAGTGCGCGAAAATGTACTGTATGCCGACATGCCAGGTACATGCGACATGAGCTGCGACCCCGCATACACCGTGTTTGCTACCGCAGGCTGGCCCTCACTACTCCAAACTTCAATGTGGCCTTGACCAGACGATGGCCTCCCGTCTGATGATGCACACGCCGTGTGAAAACTGACAGCTGATCTGGATGGCGCAGCTGCGTGATGAGCTGCACTCGCTCCCTTCGCAACCATAGGGCAGGCCCTCCATAAATGAGATTCCGACCCGCACTTGTTGCATTTAAGGGGTTTTCCGTCACGACCCCTCGGGTTGAGGCGCGGCCCTTGTCCTCCCTTTCCACCCTTCTGATTGCCCTTCCCTCCCGCGAAAGCATTCGCTGGAAGAAAACTCGTATAGCTGGAACGGAAAGGGGTTCTCTGAAGACGTTGGTAGGGCCTGTTACGGTTATGATACTTCCGATACCGTCGCGGTGGCCTACCGGTGAACCTACGCCAACGTTTCTTAGCCAAAAGGTAAGCATGATGTAAAGAATTGCCCATTGCATTATCATCCTGCATGCCTACATCGGCCTCGAAACTTGGGAAAGCCTCAGTCGAGGCAGCTGTCAAATCCAACTCACCATCATCAGTACTGGTCGCCGACGAAATGTCTTCGTCCATGAAGAAAGCTTCACATGCTGGGCATTGATCGCTTCCTTGCGTGGCATAGGCTCCCTGTCCAGAGCTACTCCCTCGCAAACTCTGCATACCAACGCTCTCCAACCCAAAGCCCGAGCCACACCCAGGACAGCCTTGGCCGGCACATGCCGTACCAAGAGGATTGGAATGAGTGTGCGTTTCATACGGGGAGCTTGGGGCATTAAAAGTTGGAAAGTAGGCATAAGCACCTGGGTCGCCGGTGCCTCCTTGATGTTGCACGTGCGCCGGGGTGCGCATCCCTCCTTCGAAAAGGTGGCCCTGTCTCCGGATACGCTCAATCAACTGTTGCAGTTGGCCCTCATCAGCCGGAAGGTTGCCTCCCAGCGGCTGTAAAAGCCTATCCCAGAAATCAGCCGAAAGCCCCAACGCCCTCAACAACAACCAAGCTAGACCCGAACTATTGATGCCTAGTCCTCCCCTCAAGGTTGCCCTGTTCCGCAAAACATCGAAGCGAACGAGAACTGCATCGATACTTTCTCCAGGTAAAATCTGGAAGTTGAGAAACTCGCTGACAGACCTTGTTGAGACTTCAGCATCTAGAGGCGCGTACCTTTGGGCAAGAGTACGCACCAACACCATGAGACCACTGACATGTTGACCCGTCTGAGGGTCCACCATGCCGTTCGCCAGCATATCTGGCCCAATTTCGCGTACCAATTCTTTGGCGCTGCCAGAAATCTGCAAGGCTGCAATCGGTCCCAATCTATGCGGCTCTAGGTCTGTAGCGCCCGCCCATAGCACCAGATCACTGGTCCAAGCGCGCAGTGAATAGTGCGCTGCCCGTTCCACCGACCAAGCAGGCGGCACCTTAAGCGTCGCAGTTCCAAGGAACGGTGGACCCGCGTCGCCCACATGGGCGTGCTGCTGCGGATTCTGGTGATGATGCCGTCCTCCGTGGCCATGCCCATGCTGATGATGCATATGCACCACAAGTCCACAGGAGAGCAACACCCCAAGCATCAACCACAGCAGCTGCAACAACCGTCGCTTTGATCGGAGTGGCTTCGCATTGACCTTGTCCATCCAATTCAGGAGTCGTCGTCGCGTCGCGTTGTGATCGTGGTCCTCTTCATCCGTATTCGTCTGATTCCGGTTTGCCTCTCGGGCGGGATCCATCTCCACGCGCACCACAAGCGGAAATTCTGATCCGCCATACCGATGGCGCTCCAGGATGCAATTCATCTCATCGTTGAATTTGTTAAGTGCTTGCTCGACTTCACATTGCAATTCCTGATAAGCGTGGTGCTCATGGCCACCTGCCCTTAGCGCATGTTTGTCATTGGACTCTGCAACCCAATCTGCAATCGTCAGGGGCTCCTTGACGCTTTCATCCTCAGCAGTGACTGCCAACATGACGACTGTTGTCAGACCACCAAGAATAAAAACCATCAAGGTCCACATTCTGACGAAGCAGCAGGAGCTGAGGGGTCCCCGAGTTCGACCCGACAGCTCCGCTACCAAGTCAAAATCTGGAGCACTCTTCCGATCACTGCATGCAAACAGCACTGGACGCCGCAAGGCCGCTCGGCCCTTTTCCATGGCTTTGCCGTTCGATGCCATCTTCGGATTCTGAAACGTGTTTCGTGGTGCCAATCAATGCACACTGTACGGAATTAAACACAGAAGGCTTGCAATAGGCCAAAGGCTTTGCCTAATTAACTCAATCCCACCTCGAGGCTGGATACAGCAACGGTGAGAGAGATACCTGCTCGACTTGGTCGATACAGAACCTTTCGACTTGGGTTTAGGGTTTAGGGTTTAGGGCTTAGGGTTTGGTTTAAGATTTCGGGCTTGGGGGTTGAAGGTTTATAGGGTTTAGGGTCGCGATTTCGGGGTGGAAGGGTTTAGGGCCGGAGGTTGGAGGCTCCAGGGTCGTCTCTGCTCTCATACTTGATCCATGCCGCTTTAGGGGTTTAGGGCTTTGGGCTTAGGGGTTTAGGGTTTAGGGCTTTGGGTTTAGGGTTTAGGGTTTAGGGTTTAGGGCTTGGGTTTAGGCGTTCAGGGCTTAGGGCTTAGGGGAATCCATGCCTGTTTAGGGTTTAGGGTTCATTATAGTCCCCAGTGCAATGCCTATTGTGCTTCCCTAGCTTTTTCATGACACGATCTTAACCGTCATAACCGCGAAATGAACGCTAGCGTTCAGGGGTGTGGTTTGTTGGGGGCCTGAAGAACCACAGCAGGGTTCATTTCTAGTAGCTCAAGCCCTTCAACTACAGACTTATGTCCCGAGAACCCTGAACCCTAAACCCAAGGAGTCCCAATCCCCAAAACATGAACTCAACAAGCCCCGCAAAAAAGCCCGGGAAGCGCTCTGGCCGTCGAAACCTAAACCCTAACCTCTTCAGTCAAAGACCTTCAACTAGCAACCTGCAATTTAAGAGGCCCTACAGACCACAAAACTACTTGGAACTCCGCGGATAGGGCCCGTATACCTAAGTATAGGATCCCTTCTGTTCACGTGGCCTTTGAACTTTGATGGGGCCTTTGATTCACACCCCAGACTCTCAGACTGGACACACACAAAACCCTTAAACCTTAAACCCTAAACCCCTCAACCCTAAACCCTCAACCCTAAACCCTAAACCCTGAACCCCTAAAACCTCAACCCCCAATCCCCGAACGGCCGAGCCAACCCGCCATTCGCAGCGCATCCTGGTAGGGGTCGCCACAAGGCTCCTCACCTCCAGTGGGATTGCTGTGAGGGTTGCTTTAAGGGCCAGCAGCGAGTGGGATTAGGGTTTATATAGGGGGTTTAGCATTCAGGGGGTTTAGGGGGTTTAGGGTTTGGGGTTTTGCCGTAGAATGGCGCATAAGCGGGAGTATTTAGCGACAATGCAATTTCGAGCGTATCGTAGTTTGACGACTCGCTGCTGGAGCCCGACTGTGGAGGGCTTTTGTTTCTCTTTCACCCCACACCGTCTGAGAAGGCCAAGCCACCCAAACCTATTCCATTTAGGGCTTCGCTGGAAACTCATTCCCATGGTTCTCCCACTTCAAGCTCGGGGGTAGTTTTCAAAGTTAGGGTCCCTTTTAGGCCTTTTTAACAGGGTGCCGTACTATATTGGGGACCTGAAAAGGGACCCTAAACCCTAAACCCTAAAACCCTAAACCCAAACTTAGAGAACTACCCGCGGTCATGCAGCAAGAGAGGACGCGGCAGGGCAGGGCAGAGGGCAGGGTGCGAGATCAGGGCTGGTGGAGGGCTTAAGGCCCAAGCCCGAGTTGAGGGCTTAGGGTTTAGGGTTTCGGGTTTAGGGTTTAGGGTTTAGGGTTTAGGGGTTTAGGGTTTAGGGTTTAGGGTTTAGGGTTTAGGGTTTAGGGGGTTTGGAGTTTAGGGTTGAGGGTTGAGTTGCTTGAAGGTACCATAAGTCTGACGATAAAGCCCTAACCCCCAAACCCTAAACCGCTAAACCCTACTACCACAGCCGTCTATAGGGGCTCCCCTTTAGTGACCCTTTCGGTAAAGCCACATAGTAAACGGAGCCCTAGTCCCCAAACCCCTTAACACCCTCAAAAACCTAGGACCCCTATAGATTGGGTACTGCCCCCATACAGTAACAGTCGATAATAGGGCTACTATTCAGGGCCTATTATAGCTATAATATAGATAGTATCGAACTGTTACTGAATGGGGCAGTACCCAACTTATAGAACCCTTGTAGATCCTCAACCTAAACCATAAACCCTAAACCCTAAATCCCTAAATCCCTAAATCCCTAAACCCTTAACCCTAAACCCTAAACCCTAAATCCTAAACCCAACACCCTAAACCCTAAACCCTAAACCCCTTACAAGACGAAGCCGGGCCGCTGCCCCCCAAAAGGTCATGCCCCAGGAGCTCTTTCAGATGCTCCCGGCGCCCTGTCGACAGAGGGGTTTATGGTTTAGGGTTTTGGGTTTAGGGTTCAGGGTTTATTAGGGTTTAAGTACACAAGCTAGAGTCTGCACTCCATCAGAGGGGTCATGATGATAGGGAATTATACAGGGTACGACTATGTGGGAGAATTAAGGGGGAGAATAAGGGCTTAGGCTATAGCTCACGCGAAGAGGAACTGTTTCTGAAGAGGTTTGGGCCCCAAAGGGGTTTCAATTAGGGTTTAGGGTTTGGGTGCAGGGCGCAGGGTTTTGGCGGAGTGTAATGTGCCCGCGTAGGCACAGTTTATGCCCACTGCTCATGCAGTGCTGAAGACGAACATACGTTTCTTGCGGCCTGACGTTGGGACAGTCTTTCGGAGAATCCCCCAAAAACCCGTAAATCGCAATCACCCTTAAAGGCAAGTGGAAATCACGACACCTAAACTTGAAGCCCGGAGCCTCAAAGAAGGGGCTACTACGACGTCGACGACGACCACAGTACTCCCACGAGCACTACGACCCCTACCAGCACGACCGTACCACTACATGTCGTAGTAATGTACAATACACCAACCATGACAGGAAGCCTGTGGCGATGATGAGCTGTCTCGGCGGGATTATGCCCGGGTCGCTGCAGCAGGTGGCCAGCAGCAGGACGACCTCGCGAGGTGTTGAGGGTTTAGTTAGGTTTAAAGCTTAGGCAATGTACGTTCCTTGTGACATCGCTTTTGTCATCACCAATCCCATTATCCTTCTGATTGCCGTTACAATCATCAGCAGCGGCGTCGTTAATGATGCTACTGCCTTCCCACCTGCCGCTATTGTTATGCTGCCATAGCGGAAGTTAAACTTCTAACAAGAATCACACCCTTTAACCACAATTCGATTCACCAGTGACTCGGGTGCCGCAGGGATCAGGGTTCCTCTCGTACGGAACTCTTCACAATTTTGACTGGCACCGGTCTGGTTCCAGTATCATCTCCACTGTCCATCGCGCTCTCCAAACCGAAAACCCTCAACCTCAAACCCCGTTTAAAATCCGTAAATCCTCTGACCTCTAAACATCCCTAAAACACTAAACCTCTCCGCGGCCTCAACCTGCTGAGCCCCATGTTTTTGTTTTACACCAGAAGACCAAAAACCCTCAAAGCCCTCAAAGCCGCAAAGCTGAAACCCAAAACCCTGAACCCTAAACCCAAAAAGCCCCAAATCCTGAACCAAAAGCCTGAAAAAACCCAAAACCCGAAACAAAAACACAAACCCCTCATACCTAAACACCAGAGGAAAAAGAAATCCCACAAGGACCCGGCCGTGGCCACGAAGAGGAGCAGCGAGGCCGGGAACAGCGCCGGGGGTCGAGAGGCCCAAGAACTGAGGCACGTTGTAAGGGCGGGTTTAGGGGTTAAGGGGTTTAAGGGGTTTAAGGGGAAAAAGGGCTTTACGGGTTTTAGGGATTAGGGTTTAGGGGTTTTAGGGTTTAGGGGTTTAGGGGTTTTAGAAGGTTTGGGGTTCGGGTTTAGGGTTCAGGGCTGTCGAAGGGTCTTGTGGGGTTCTATCTGGCTCTATCGAGGTCTATCGGGGTTGTTGAGGTTGTTCCATAAGCGTTCCATGGGATGTTCATTGGATTTTTGGGGATATGGCTTGCTTGTTCAGCGAGTTTCCTGCCGCTTGCTTTCATCCCCTTGAGCTTCGCGCTACAGGGGTTTGGACCGCTGGGGAGTCGTAACCGTAACCCCCTCGACCCCTGACGCCTAAATGACTCTCGCAAAAAACCGAGCCCCGAACCCAAACCCTTAAGCCTGTACTGGCCTAAACCGTTGTGGGGGGATTTAGAAAGCATAAACCCTAAACCTTTGAGGGGTTTGGGCTAAGGCTTATTTACCCTAGACCCTAGTTTAACTGAGCCCTGAACGCAAGTTGCAACCCAGGAAGTATGCCGAGGCCGGTGCTGGCACAAGTGCGGCAAAGCGAAGCCGAAGTACCTGCAGAACCCTGAGGAATCATGTTGGTATCAATTCAACCTCGTTCCGGTTTGGAGCCTAATCTTCTGACACGCTTCGGAGGAAACCCTTCTGAAAGCCTGTAGACAACCCCTTGACATGTCTTATTGAGGAGGTGGAGCACAGCAGCGAGGGCAGCAGCAGGCAAACCCATGTTGCCACGGATGCGCCCGAGACGCCCCCGAGCGCGGCAATGGGGCACTCGCCCTTTCAGCACTCTCTTTGCGCAGTAAGGGCCCTAATGAATAGAATAGGGTTGTGGGGCATACTGTACTGTACCCTAAACCCTAAACCCTAAACCTAACAGGGACGAAGGAATAGTATTGCTATTTTCCTGACAGCAATAGCCCATGAGGGCACCAGCAAGTCTCTTATCCCTAAGACTTTTCATGCGGCTTGACCAAGAATTTGGGGGTTGTCGTGGCGATCTTCAATGGCTACCATAAAGCGAGCTTTGTGCAAGAACTGCTTCGATCGCAACTGTAACTCCCAAAGGGTCCCAGGTACTGTTATGGGGGATACTGTCCCATACTATAATAGATAATGTAGATGTAGGGGCCCTAATAATTAGAATAGGTTTTGGGGGTTCCTTATTATAGTTATAGTAGAATTTACCCCCAAACCCTATTGTAACTATTAAGGCCCCTAGATTACGTTTTCCTAATATAGAAACCCTACAGTCTATATAGGTACTTCTCTAAACTAGGGTCCCTTTTTAGGTCAACCAACATAGTACGGCACCCTTATACAAAAGGACCCCCAAAAGGGACCCTAGTTTAGAGAGCTAACCATATAGGTACTCAAGACCCTTTGGGGCTCTAAGGGGGACGGACTGTCTGCAGGAGCCTATCGGTTCAGTGAGGTTTTGGGGCTTGGGGTTTAGAGGTTTAGGGTTTAGGGTTTAGGGTTTAGGGTTTAGAGGTTTAGGGTTTAGGGTTTAGGGGTTAGGGTTTAGGGTTTATGAGGAAATCCACTTGGGGTTTTTTGGGTTTAGGGACCCTCAAAACCCTAGAAGTCCTGAACCGAACCAGAAATCATCCGTGAAGGACTTTGAGGTAGTCTGGCATCAATACCAATAGTTACTGCTTAAGGAACCGTATCAAATTAGAATAGGGTTCTGGGGCTTATTAAAACAGCAAGATTATAGAAAGGGACTATCAGGGACTCTACATGAGTACGAGTCTTAGTACGAATACTGACAAAGAGAGTAAGGAAGATCAGAGAAGGACGTCCTCGCCACCGGTGATGCAGCGGCCAGCGCAGAGGAATTTGCTTTTGGCGCCCCAGCGGCGGTAGCTGAGCGAGCTCATGAGCGGAGGCGAGAGCTAGTGATGAAGGCTCCCCCAAAAGAGAGATCGGGGGGGGGTGGGGGGTGGGGGTTGGGGGGTGGGTTCCGATTATGGGGATTTCGGTGCTACGGCTTGAAAAAGGATACCTGAGTAAGACTGCTGATGTTTGGGGGTTTTGGAAGTTGAGTAACAGGGTTCCTGCTGGGCTGTTGCAACTTTCCCCGAAGTTCGTCGATTGGAACAGTACAGCAGGGTCAGGGGTACAGGCATACGGCTTAGAAGGAGCCGTCTGCTCCATGGCTCAGAATTCCCGACTTTGTAAGAAAGTTTCGCGCCTTCAGGCTTCAAGGCTCAAGAAGCCCCCGAAAGTCTTGAGGATAGACGCATACCAACACGGACTGCTTCCTAGTGTTCAAGCACGCAGGGGACGGACTTTATCTTCGGCGGCTTTTCGAGGTAGAGCCGCAACAGGGCACACCGGTTGAGACAAGGACAACACAAGCACTACAATGGGCAGGATAAGACCACGGACTTGTAAGGATCAAGCCGACATTTGGCGCCCCGAAGAAAGGGAAATTGTTGTTTGGGCGGCCGAAATCTAGACCCTGAACCCGAAACCCAAAGACGCCAAAACCCAAACCCCTCACCCCTAAACCCATTCTGAACCTTTGCACAGTAGAACCCTTATAGGGTTCAGGGTCCTTAACCCTAAACCCTAAACCCTAAACCCCAAACTCTCCAAACCCTAAACCTTCCAAACCTTCAACCCTAAACCCTCAACCCTAAACCCTAAACCCTCAACCCTAAACCCTCAACCCTAAACTCTCCAAACCCTAAACCCTAAACTCTCCAAACCCTAAA